CGTTGCTCGGCAATTTTGGGTTTATTTAAAAATTTATGTTTCTGTAATAAATGTAGCTAAAATTCAATTTAATAATTTAGTTAAAAAAACTGTTGATAGTAGCGTATCAGTGTAGCGGAACGACGATCGAAAAAACGACTTGCGGATTCAATGTGCAAACGTAAAAAACTGCTGTTTTGTTTTCTAGTTAAACTACTACCTAGTGCTGTTTGTAACTTTTCCCTTATGTTTTGAGGAGGACAATGGAAAAATACGTGTTCAGAGTCTTCTATTGACTCCATATACATTGAACAATACGGTCTAACGTAATTTTGAAATTTGTATAGATAGCCTCTGAAACATCCATGCCCGATTAATATTTGGGTCAGGTGGAAATCCAGGTAGCATTGTTGACTAGTTATCCGTCAGTTTCACCGTCCTTTGGTTGAGATTTGCCACCGTTGCTGCTATATAATTGTGAACTTATTTCTCTCCTCTCTCTTTTTGATTTCTGTAATTGGCGATGATTGCTCATATAATCTCATGAACTCTTCTACTTGGATGTCTATGGCCGGTATACTTAGATCGGAAAGCATTTGTTACTCTTATTGCTGTGAGTTTATGCATCGCATTTATTGCACCGCTTGTATCCAAACTGGAGCAGCATATAGTAGTACTGAGCTTTTGCGATTAAAAGTCGATGGCTGGAGCGCACAGAGTCTCTATTTGTCATCATTCTTGATATTGTAAATTTTACTTGCTTTACTTAATGTATTTGATGTGTATACCAAATGCTCCTTGAATTTCAGATTGAAGTCCAACATTACCTCTAAATACTTCTACTGTGACTGTGAAGTAATCGCATACTCTTCTATAGTGAGAGATATTTTTTCCTCAATTTTTCTGGAGCTTATGAGCAATACTTCTGTTTTATGCCTAGCCAGTTCCAAACTCATGGAAGTCAACCATTGTCGTACACCATTTATGCATTCATAACATTTATTTTGCTCTCATCCAGTTAGCTACTCTTACCATTATATGGTCATCCGCTAGTAAAGAAATTTCACCCAAAAATTTGGGAGGAGCAGCTGTATTACAAGCTTTTAATAAAAATCACCACGAAGTTATTGAAGGCATAAAATTAAATAACGCCTTATTAATTAATAAGCATCGACTTCCTGATAGTTCATAAGTAATATTGGCCAAAMCAAAAATCCAGATGAATTATCGCGCAATCGATAGCGTGATCAAAAATGTGAGATAATAGAAAAACTGCAAAAAAAAAACTATTACTAGGTTCAATATTTAGATAAAAAACTCTTATTTGCTACGCGGCATCGAAGTGGGAATGGTATCTGTGCTTTAAAAGCTTTTAAAAAGTGGGCGTGATCGCGCTAAACAGAATAATATGGAGAACGCATGCTAATTCAAAAGTAGTAGATTACAAATTTGAAAATAGTATCGCTATTCATTATACAACGTATTTAATCTAAACAAAGAATTTTTATGTATATTTCTTTCTTTTTAGCAACCGGTTTACTTGTGGGTGTCACATTTTCACTTTTGATGCTGAAAAGAAAATCTTGGCCATTATTAATTGGATCGGGATTTGGTGTGGGCGTAGCTTTTAAGACTTGCGAAAAGCATATAAATGTGTAAAATGTGTGTAAATTAATTTGTTTAAAAGAAATGATAATAAACTGATTATTGCAGGTAAAATATGTTTTTCACTTGTTTGTATAATATTATACATACATATGTAGAAGGTGCGTTCCAAAGTAAACAGGACTTTTTAAATCTAGCGCCCCCTGTTGGCGCCATCTATATGTCGACTGGTGCCTTAGAATCTGCTATCTTTATTGATTGTCCAGTGACATTTCATCGATTGGAAATTAAGTTATTACGTTTTAAGTTTCAGTATATTAGTGTTATCGGTGCGAAAATGAGCTTCGAACAAAGAGCGAACATTAAATTTTGTTTTAAAGTTGGTAAAACTTATACCTAAACGTTTCAATGGATGAAACAAATTTATGGCGATGATTGCCTATCCCGTAGCAGAGTGCACGAGTGGTTTCAACGTTTTCAAAGTGGTCGTGAGGACTTAAATGACGATCAACAGGTGGGCCAATCTAAACGTGATCACCGGAAATTCCATTGAAACTGTGCGTGAATTTCAAAAAACCGATATCATCGTTGAAATTAATGGCAATGGAATTGAACATCACCGTATTCACCTGATATGGCACCGTGCGACTTTTTCCTTTTCGAAAAAATGCGTTTGCGGATGAAGGGAAAGCGTTATGCAGACGTAGAGGCTATTCAAAAAGCTTGCACCGGCATACTGGCGGTCATACCGGCCAACGGGCTAAAACACTCGTTGGACATGGTTTTGGACAGTACAATAAGCTGTATTGAAGCAGAAGGAGACTATCTTTAATAAAATAATTTGATTTTGCTGAAAAATCATTTGTTATTTTTTTTTAAGTCCTGCTTACTTTGGAACGCACCTTGTATATGGCGTATGGTAAAAGGGAAATCAAATATGTAAACCCTTGTATTAAAGTCTAAGAAAAAAGGATAATATTAATGTGTTTTGTATTTCCTTCGTAAACGAGATTTATATTTGTATTAACGGAATATGCTTAGTTTTTTTTTTTAATTTTAGATGATCCAATAATGGTGAGTAAGCAGCTTACCAAAAACATGCGCTTAAAAGTATGCAACATCTATGTAAAAATAGTTTTGGTGAGATTTAAATAGCATACTGAGTTTTGCGTCGACCGTTCATAAGATGCAAGATTGTACAGTAGATCATGCAGTAATTTATCTGGGCGCTCGACTGTTTGCTGCTGGGCAAGCTTATGTAGCACTTAGTCGTTGTAGATCTTTGGACGGTATTCGAATTGAAGAACTAGACTGTTCAAAGTGGACAGGTAAAACCGAATGTAACAGTGAAGCTTTAGAAGGAATGATTCGATTAAGAAGTAATAACTCAGTATTTGGTAATAATTCGTAAAGTCGTCAATAGAACTTTGTCGCAAATAATACAACAATTAGCCAATGAAAGGTTACGAGTAGATATTAAATGCTGCGTAATTATCGATTAACTTAACTACACGTCATAGTTCATAGCTTAACAAATTTGGGGTTTCTCACATCCAACTAAAAAATTAAATATAAATATAGTTTTAAAAAACTAAAAAACAAGCCTTTAAAGTTAAAAATGGAAAAATAATTCTTGGAATAAGCTAACAATAATAATGAAGGAAAAATGTCTGCATTATTGTGAGAAAAGCATTTTGTGACATATTTTTCATATATATATCGAGCATTCCATGTTATTTTCACAGTAATGCAGGCATTTATCCTTCATTATTATTGTTAGTTTATAAATTAATTATTTTTCACTTTTTAGTTTGATATGCTTTAAAAGCGCGTTGTTTTTAGTTTTTTTAAACTATATTTATTATATCAAAATTTCAGGAGAAATTGCTCAAATATATACCTTGTATATGCCATATTAAATTTTTCAAATACATGATTGATTTGAAAAAGAAAAATCATAAAAATACTTTATTTTTTTGTATCTCTGAAATCCACCTGACCCCTTAAATGACGCCGCAAACAAAAATGGGCAAACGGTTTTATGTTTTTAATTAAAGGGAGCCTTAGCTTTATTAAAGTAATTAAATATGATAATTTATTAGCAATATTTTTAAAAATAAAACAAAATATAATAAAATGAAATAAATGAAAAACGTATATTATATGTATATATAGAATACTGAGTGAAAAGTTAATTTTGAAAAAGCCGCACCACCATAACATTCAGACTTGAGAATCCTTTGCAGTTAAAATACAGATGTTTATCTCTTGACGGTGCCATAATCTTTACGTGAGTTCCATCAACTAGCATTGCCACACCAGAAAATATCTTTTTGCTTCTTATTTTTTGTCGGCGGTCATGTCAATGGAAATCCATCTTGAACATAGCCTGTACTCAAGAATGTTGAGTACTTCATACAATACAACACAAAATGTCGGTTGGGCAGTATTCATATTGAAGTTCTTTAAAATACAATGCCTGTGGCTAAGAAACGTAAACATGCAGCAAGTTTTATTATTGGAGAAAGAGAACCTTTTCTTTTGTTATTTCCAAATTATTTTTAGCCTTCAACCAAATTGTATATACATAAATGCCCTTTGTTTATCCGATGATGAAACTTCTTATGTACATTAGAGGTGTTCTAAGTTATATGGAGATTTTTGAAATAGTGTTTTAAGTTAACAGAATGGGCTAATTTCTTTTCTTTTTATGTAAAAATGTTTAAAAAAAAATTTGGGGACAATCGGATGATGGGAATCGGATGAAGGAAGAAGAAATGTTTTAAAATTAAAAATGGCCTATAGGAAAAAACAAGTTTTATGTATTCAAGTATCAATTTTTCTTTTAGTGTATTTATTAAATGAATATGTATGCTTTAATATGTCTCAACTAGCACGATATAAAGAATAATTTTAATAATATTTTGTTCTTATTTCGAGTGAAAAAACGGTAAATAATATTTTTTTCTCGCATCATCGTCGTAACTGTCGATTGCTTTATTTTTGCAACATGAACCAGCAATATTTGCAAAAATAAAAAACGGACGACTGCAGACTTAGGTAACGGTATTTTTGGGCAGCAAATAAAACAGTAAATGGACTGTGTTCTTTTTTCAATAATTGTCACTTTGTCGTTTGTTTGGCATTTCAAATCAGATGTGTTAATTTGTGCGAAATTGTGATTATTTAATAAAAAAAAGAAATGATTGAATTACCAGCAACTGCGAGTACATTACATATACAAACACGACAACGTTCTGAACAAGTTGTGTGAATATTGAACTAATTGGAAGAATTTCTCATCAGATAACGGGTGCTAAACTACCATCGAATAAACAAATACTGCAATTACTATTTTATAACATTAATGCTGTATTAATATTTTGGCAGCAAGCTCGAATTCCGACAAAAGATGTAGCTAGGTGTGTCGATAAATTAGAATCTCTGTACAAATTATGGCAGAAGATTCAAAAAAGCGTACCAAATAAGAGATCTGATGCTCAGAAAAAAATTGTTGAAGACTTTTCTGCAGAATTGGATAATTTGTTTGACATTGCTCATACATAGAGATGCCTTACAAAACATGCGTATTAGCGAAGACAAGGAATTTTGGATTCTACAAAGGCAAAAAGGTCGCCCTGGTAGCATGGCCGGTGCTGACATGGTATTGTATCGGGCGATAAAACAGAGCAGATCACCGCATTGAGAAAGAAATGTCTAGAAAAAAGAAACATCAACAAATGTCGTAAGTGAATCATAAGTTTATCAAATGAAACTAATTTTATTTATAGTGATAATGATCAATTTTAAAATGATATTGTGTAGTCGAACTCAAAGACGATTTTGGTATGGACTATGAAGAAGATATTGGTGACAGTGAGCCTGAAGTAGCGGAAACCAATGTGAAAAAAAAAATACAAAACAAACTGTTTCAACTTGTATTAACAGGGGAAGAAAACATTTTATCACACCGCGATTGCTTTCAGCACTTGATAGCGCCAAAGTAAGCGATGGAAAGGCGATGCACATTCTGATGGCGACTGCAGAAGCATTGGGCTATTCCCCTAGCGACTTGGTAGTCAATCGTTCTACTCTCCATAGACTGAGGGAAGAGCATCGCAGAAAAGAAACACAGAGGATTCAAGGAGTTTTATTGACCAAGTATACCATGATTGAAAATATACGTATAGGTTATTTAAATACTAATAATATTCTATTCTAGCTAAGTGATACACAAGCAATGGTTGTCCACTGGGATGGTAAAGTATTGCCAGATCTAATTGGAACAATAAAAGTTGAGCGAATTGCAGTGCTTGTTAGTTACAATGGCGAATCCAAATGTCTAGGCGCTCCAAAACTTATATCTTCCACTGGTGAAAATATAGCTACAGCCGTTTTTGATACACTTCGTAAATGGAATATTTTAGATCGCGTAGAAGGCATGTCTTTTGACACCACGTCCACTAATACTGGTCCAATGAATGGAGCATGCGCTCAATTGCAACGCATGTTAGGAAGAAATTTGTTGACGTTACCATGCCGTCACCACATTCTAGAAATATACTTGCGTAGWGTATTCGACCTGYATTTCAAAGYGACTCAAGCACCAGAAGTCWMAATTTTCGAGAGATTTGCMAAAGCCTGGYSAAATATTGACACTTCATCATTTAAGAGTGGGCTCGACTGTGAAGATATAAAATCTCATATAAGTGATGGCATCTGCAATGACATCAAACAATTTTGTCATTCACAATTACAAAAAACTTTTGTTCGTGCTGACTACGAAGAATTTTTACGTCTAGTACTTACATTTCTTGGTGACAATGGTGGTAAATTTAAAACACCCGGAGTTACAAGTCATGCACGTTGGATGTCAAAGGTAATATATTCCTTGAAAATACTTCTTTTTCGTAACCAATTTCACTTGAGTAAAGCTGAATTMAAAGGTTTAAGTCACATTTGCGTTTTTTTAGTGCGTTTATATATAAAGGCTTGGTACAAATGCTCTAATGCAATTACCTCTCCCCTACATGATTTATACTTTGTAAAAGAATGTATTAATTATGAAAAACTGAACCCAAGTATTTCTTCGGAATTGCTGAGTAAAATGCAACAACACATGTGGTATTTGTCAGAGAAAAACGTCGCAATGGCTTTCCTTGATTTCAATGTTTCTGTAGATGTTAAGAAAAAAATGGTAAAAAATTTGAAATCAGAAGATCCAACTAATAAACTACAAAACAATCGCAAAATAAAAAAATTAAGTGACTTAGGCAATTCGGATTTAAGCGAATTTGTAGCCAAAAGAACTTTAACGGTTTTTATGAAGTACAAGTAGTCAACCAACATTTTGTATTTGGATCCAGAGTCTTGGGAAACAAACAAGGAATTCCAAAATGGTCGCACAATATGCCACAAATTGCTTGTTACTAATGATACAGCGGAAAGAGGTATTAAATTTATAAAGGATTTCAATACTATTCTTACAAATAAAGAAGAACAAAAAAAGTTCCTCCTTGAAGTTGTTGAAGAATACAAAAAAAAATATATAAGTCCTATAAAAAATCAGAATTAATTTAACGTTTTAATATTTCTAGATGTATTAAATAAATTGATATGAATAAAAATATTTCCTTTAAGTAGTAGTTTTAAGTTAATATAATTCAAAAAATTGGAGAAAAATAATACACCAAAAGGTAAACTGATGCTTGAATACATAAAACTTGTTTTTTCCTATAGGAAGGCAATTTTTAATTTTAAAACGTTTCCGCGCCGTCTTCCCATCATCCGATTGTCCCCAATTTTTTTTTTTAACATTTTTACATAAAAAGGAAAAAAAAATAACCCATTCTGTAAACATAGAATACATTTTGAATTTTAAGGACAGGTCTAATGTACATACATACATATGTAAATAAAATGTTTTTTTTTTAGCTTAGATAGTTCAACTCTCTTATAGTCATCCATTTCCAACAGGTCTTTTGAAATATTCCTCAAATATCTGCGCTCACGACGAATGTTTACACTATTTTCATCATCACTACCAAAAAGCTAAGACAAGTTATTTAATTTTTCAAACTTGATAACGCAGTTTACACAAGGTATGGTAAAGCAGATTATCGACGGTATCAATGATCGCATGAACATTTTGGAACGAAAATTCTTTCCGCAAAGAATTCGATTTCGATACGGATTCAATAATTAGACCAAATATTTGTTCCAAAAACCCTTAGTTGTTTTTAAAGCGTTCAATCGGCGTTCCAAGCCAGGGTGATGGTACTAGGTCAGTATAGTAAAACCCTAAAGGGTTTTAATTTGTTAAGATGGAAAAAGATGGGAAATAAGGAAAAAATTTAAAAGGTCATAAAAAAAAACTGACACCTACGAATGCCAAACCCGTTGAGGGTTTTACTATACTGACCTAGTACCATCACCCTGACTTGGAATTTCTCACCCTCCAGATTAGCTGTTGTACTGTGTTATGGGTACTATAAAAGGACCGAAAAATTTAGACGTTTTACCCAACACGTCCAACAGAGTGATAACGATTTAGTTTTGTCTCATAAGACCATGTTACCTTTTAAATATAAAAATTAAGGCAATATTTTTATTATAAAAAAAAATGTTTTAAACTTGCTGTATTCCAATCATCTTCAATCCAATGCTCATGTCTTCCAACAACATAAGTTTTTTCTTTTCTAATGGATTTTTTTTTTTGCATTTTGTTGCTACTTTGYACACAAATTGCTCCTGCTTTGATAACTTTAAAATTTTGCGTTTATTTTCTGATTGCATTGTCACGTTTGGTACAAGACAGCTCAATTATCACTCAATGCTCACGTTCTCATAGCATTTACAAAATATAGCGATAATAATTGCTCACATAACGGGCGAGCATAACTGCAACATTGCAGTTATTCTTAGTTAACGCTCTCTACACTAGTTTATTGTTGTTCAATTTTACAGTACAGGTAAAATACGATGTCCACTCTCAACATAAAAATAAAAAAAAATTAAGTTGCAGTTCAAACTGGTGGAATATAATTCATTGAAATAAGAGCGTTTTCATCGTGTTACGATATTGCTCGTCACTGTATATACTTTTGAAGATCATTAGAGCAAAGCAAGAATAATATGAAGAACGTATAAAGAAAGATTGGGTTTTGAGAAATAACATGACGATTCGCAAACAAAATTTAAACTCGTCTTTAGTTTCTATAGATAAGATTATTTTGAGTCCGTCCAAATAATTGCAGACCTGTGTTATCTGTAATAAGCACAAAACATACATAAATCTTTACGTAGGTTAAGAACTTGCATCTCTTTTAAACAAAAGTAGTGAAAAAGTTAGTGAACGAGTCAAAGGTGTCGAGCCAATTTTACAACTTTCTCCTTACACGTACTTATACATGCGATCACAATAGTGTCATACAGCACTAATATAGCTGAATCGCATAACAGCGGTCGTTAGCGCAGTGTAGTATTTTTGGGTTTCTCATTTAAGTTATTCAATATTGAAAAAAAATAAAATAAAAAAAAAATTGAAGAAAAAAGAACAATTATTTATTTATTACTAAAGGACCCCGTTCAAGCTTTGGTGTGACTGAAGCATACATTAATAGTGAACTATTCAAAAGAATAGATTGTTCTTATTTTTTAACAATAATATTTATAGTTTTAAATTTAAACATGTTCAAATTCAATTCAAATCTGCAAGGGGCAAGAGGACTATTTCTCCATTAAAATTTCCAGTCAAAATATTTATTGCAATAATATTTCTTGCGATATTTTTGATTACCAAGCGTTTTCCGTTGCATAATTGAGGTGCATTGAAATTATTCTGAATGATAATAGTTGAACAATTTTCAACCAATGATTATATGATGCCATCCGGGATATATCTAGATAATTTTCGTTGTCATTTTCATCAAACAGTATCGAATGATTTAAAATACATCCATTTGTCTGAGCACAACTGTTAATTGTAAAATTAATATCGTTAACTTCTACATTTTTAGCAACTAATAATGTAGAACGTTATTCAGCCGGTTATGAACCAAAAAAATAATTTTTAACTTTCAAGAATACTTTCAAGTCATTTTCATTATGCACTGCGTATTTGTTTGCAGTTCTATTGTACCATTCCTAATATAAAAAAATTGTATTATATCTGAGACTGGATCAGGTTGCAATTGATCGCGTATATTAATGGTTGCCTTAGTATATGTAAAGAATGTCAATCCCAGACATTGGTGAGACAGCACCACTGAAAACTTCATCGTTGCGTTTAAATCTTGTATTGTTCTTCACTCATCTCAACTTATAATTGTACACTGCAGCTTGTTGTTTTAGCGAATAACTAGTACCCGTTAAGATGGTAAGGATTAGTTGTCGTCGACGTCATCTGACAGAAGGCCCAAAAAACATGCTTCCCTACCTCGGTAGCAAGTGTAATGGGGAGACATAAGTTGGAGTTTATTCTGGATAAGTAGGAGTTTAATCTGCTAAAATATCCAGAACGAAGCTGCGCATGGGCTCGAGCTCTTCGTCTGCAATGGGTGGTGGTTTGACACCAAGAACGCCATTCACTCGAGGGATGTCGCTGGAGGTGTTGATGGCTCCACTGTGACTGGCGGTCAGTGCGTGTCTTAATTTAGTTGCGTCTGAAGTTCGGTCGGCGTACTGTCTAATAACGTCGACGTCATTGAGGAACGACACCTAAATGTTTCTAGAAGGTGGTTCCGCTCCAAGAAGGTGTCTGCAGGGGTGATTTCTGCGAAAGTAGGAGGTCTGCCTGGAGGGAAGTTCGCTATGCCCCCTAACAGGGAGAATACAAGTAGTTTTTGGTTAAGGCCACGAACTATCTGGGCGTTTATGACGCTAAGTGCTGTGGAAGTACTGTGCACTTTTCGGAAGCAATGCTGTTGGCTCGTTAGGATCAGGTTGTGAGTGAAGGTTGGGGTAGCAAGGTCTCAAGTGTCTTCACTACTGAGAAGAGGAGAGTTATCAAATGATTGGACTCCCCTTTGTTCGCGGGTTTCCCAGGTTTCAGTGGTGGGACCACTCTTTAAACTTTCCACACATCTGATATTTGAAGAGTGGTCAGTAGGATGGGTCGATTCCGGACTTTTGTTGCCTTAGTACTTCCTGATTCCAATGCAACTTTTTGTTTCGGAAATTTGCCTAAAATCGTGAAATTGTCTACCTATCGCCTGAAATACGCATCTCATGGCAAAATGTATAAAACAAAAGTTATTTGTCACGTCATTTGCTACCGATCATGGCCGTAGAACGAACCGTTCCCGAGATACGAGCAAAAATGCGGCGCGCCACAGCGCAAGGTGAAAATTGGATTGCGGCCACACTTCTTGACGCTGATTTCGCCGAGTGCTATCACTCACATTCATTCTCCTACGCCAAAAGACACGTTCGGATAGTTCTCCACACAATTATTTTTTCATCGAGTTGCTTCACTCTTGTCGGTGATTTCGCCGAGTTCTATCACTTACATTCATTTCCCTGCGCCATACGACACGTTCGGACTGGTCTCCACATAAACATTTTTTCATCGTCACTTATATTCTCTCAACAGAACACAGAACTCAAAATGTCTGTATCTAAATTTAAATTYAGACAGAAATGTCCTGTGTTTGGCATATATCCGTACAATCTCTCTGAGTCCCAGTTACCTACTTAYCAGGATGTTCTTTTGTGTTATCAGTTTGAAAGATTACGTATAGGGCGACTCCGAGGCGACAACTATGAACATAGGAGTAAAGAGGTTACGGAAATAGTTGCAAAAAAGGTTGAAAATACTTTCAAAGAGTCATCTATTCCGATAGTTTCACACACCAGAGTTGTACAAATGCTCACCACATACCATAAGAAATTTCTGACTCTTAAACAAAGGTTTTTAAGGAACCCAATAGGTTTGAGCTCTTAAAGAGACGACTTTGTCTCTTCTGCCGGAAAACTATTTGACATCGCTGCTTGTAAATGCATATATTTTTCTTCTTGCACTCTGTCCAAAGGAAAGGAAAGTTCCTATCAATGAACAACCATTTCTCTTGGACCAGAGAACCAGAAGAACTGGTCGCATTGGAAGTGTTGATCTACCTGAAACAAAAAAGATTACAAAGAAAAATGAACGTAAAGAAAAGCTTTCAAAACGTCATTCAACATCAACACTTACCAGAAAAGTATCAGCTAGAACACGTGACCATTCAGATCAGCCAGACTCTCATACAGACGACAACAATGTAGGTGCGGCGCACATGGATTCTTCCAAAAACGATGATGATGATGAATTTTCTCTTCCATCCTCTAAAATTAAACAAAACACACTAGTATTGGAATACACTGCTTTAGCTGCCTAAAGATTTGGAGTAAGTGATAGAGCAGCGGCCTTGATTGTTTCATCTGCTTTCCTGAATGCCAAAAAAGCA